GTTTTAATAAAGCAATATAAACATATATACTTGAAAGCACACTTAAAGGTTCTAGCAGCTTTGGATGGTATTTGAATAACCTTATTTCTTCCAGCTGTTGGAAGCTCATAAGGCAAACAAGTTATCTGTACTTTGGTGAGTAGGCATCCTATTCCTATTCCTATTCCTATTCCTATTCCTATTCCTATTCCTATTCCTATTCCTATTCCTATTCCTATTCCTATTCCTACTTCTATTCCTGCTCCATCCACTTTCTATTATTCACAGGCTGTTTCATACTATAGTATATACATTTTAGTCAGCATTTTTAATCTTGATGTTTGACCTTTTTCTGAATTTAAAAATGTGCAATTTAAAAACACTTCACATAGAAATTAAGAAATAAAGGGAACGTGTTAAAACTTCACAACAATTATCAAATCACCATTGAGTAAGGTTTCTCTGCATCCACTTCAAAATCAAAGTATAATTTCAGAAATGCACTTATTTAATTCATTCCTTACTGTAATTCTTTATCACCTAATTTTTCCATACAGTTTAGCAGATTATTAGCCTTTCACTTTGATAAATGCTCAAAGGATTTATTCTGACAGAGGAGCAAATACGGAGATTTATTTGGCAGAAGCAAAACTTGCTCAGTGAATCATATACTACTGAATATGAAGACAACAATGGCATTTTAACATGGTTTCATAATGGAATTTCAACATTAGTCCTAATGGGTTTTGGTAAACATACCAAAACACATTTTAGACCCAAAAAGTCAGAGATAATGGAAGGTGAGTGTCATTTTTCTTCAAATAGGCAAGTATTTAGGGCACTCTACAAACAACATTAATTAATGCTCTGGATGACTGACCAGGAAAATCTGAAATCTATTTTTATAGTACATTAATTTGTATTAGTAGTAAGCAGGACTTGTCTGATATCCCCAAGACCCCATATCTCTGAACTCCTGATCCATACTCGATAACATCTTTCACAGGCAGTCTGCAGACCAGACTCACTCTATTATCTGAAGAGGATCAGATCGAGAGACCACTTTGATTACATGCTTTGATACACAATCAGAAAATCAGCAATATACATTTTATTAAATGCATCTTTAGATCCCAGAGGTGGATTTACAAAAAGCACCATTTATGCCTACTCTCTGGTCTCCAGAAAAGTTCATCGAGAATTGATGAATATCAATAGGGGCAATTATTTCTGCATAGAGGAATTCAGTGACACACCTTTGCTTCATACACACTTCCATGTCAGACAGCATTGCATCAGACTGTCCCTCTGCTGCCATTTGTCACACAGCAACGACATGGAATGGAAAATTGATGGGAAGATTCAACCTGTATTGCCATACCTCTAACACTTACCTCTGATGTCCTAGACCAACATAATAAAGTACGAGTGATTACTTTCAGAGCAGCCCTTGTGTGTCAGTATAAGTATGCATATTTTTAACATTTGTCTCATAAACAAATTTTTTTTCCCAATTTGTTCAATAATGCTTTTCCGAGCTTGTTTTTAACATACTGCTAACTAATACACTGACAACTGCAGTCCGTGTTGTCAGTATGTTATTGTTGCAGCCTTAATGGTTTCAGAATCTCAGAAAGACTACTGCAGAGAGAGGTAATATCTTCTAATTAGGCTGATACAGCTGGAAATACTTATAAACTTTCAAACACAAGAATCAAAAACCTCTGCTCCTCCCAACTGTACCAACTGGCTGACTAGATGACATTATTTCACCTGTATAAACCTTACATCACTTGCACTGCAGTAATTCATCTGCACTTATGGTTCCTAGATTCAGAGTACTCTTTTGGGTCAGAATCACCATGGATGCATTTCATCCAATTTCATTTGCTGAAGGAATTAAGGGACTTAGAAATCCCATGATCCGAAGTTACTTCTGGAGTGATGCTAAGAGAAGTGAGACAATCATGAAGAATTAACGCAATGCAACCAGTCATATCTCATGTGAGGATCACATTGTAAAGTTTCTGCTGCTGAGCAGAAATTCTTCATACTGTTCTAAAGACAAAAAATTGGAGGTTCTCAGTAAACTTGCCAGCCTTTGGATCATACTGCCAAGGTATGGTCTGGTGCTGGAACAGGCTGTCCAGAGAGGTTGTGGATGCCCTGCTGGAGATGTTCAAGGTTCATCAAGGTTGGATGGGGTGCTGGACCCCAGTATTAAATGGGGAGGTTGGTGGCCCTGTCTGGCGCAGGGGGTTTGGAGCTTCATGATCCTTAAGGTACCTGCCAACCCAGGCCATTCAGTGATTCTGTGAAGACCTATCTAGGATGTGATTTATGACCACTAGATAGATCAAGCACAGCTAACAACCAGGAAGAGCAAGCTGGTAAATTGGAGGCTTACAGATTATGACTATAAAAGGTGCAATGCAAATGCAATGATTTCTTTCTGAAAAGTACATCAAACAGATTTTCTGATTTCTCCTTTCAAGGCTAGCCTGTAAAAATCAGTAATATGCTCTTACTGGAAAACTTAAGGATATTAAACGTTGCTTGTACATTGGGATTTGCGCTGTAATGTTGAGAAAATATTAAAATCAAGGTACTAAGTCTCTTAACCATCCCCAGAGGAACTATTCTGTTCCTGTGTCAGATCAATTTCCCAATTTGCCTTGTGTGCTTGTGCATATATACTCAGCAGAAGCAAAACAGTTGAAACTGTGATCAATTCTTATCCAACTCAGTAGTCCGACAAGCTACCATGATGAAAATCTTAAAATTACTAGTGTATTGAAAAATCTTTAATGAGTTGATAGACACAACCTTTCCTATATTCCACCATCAAATTACCTGAAAACTTCATTCATATCAGTAAGGAGCTGCATTGTTTAAGATATGTGCCGAGTTTTAAAATGCTCCTATTGTATAGCAATAGTATCTAATCAACATATGTGAAAACTAAGCTCAGCATGAGGTTAAGAACTGTGCTAGAAAGGCAGTAGGTTATTTTGAATAGTCAAATGAACATATCATCTCTTTTTCCATTAGCGTTCCAACAGTCTATTTCCAACTGATGTTTCTAAAAGCAACATACCAGCAAATGATAATTCCATCTTTTAAGAAGATAAAGATTTGCTTCATTGGCTGCACTGGCAACATGGCTCATTATATTGATATCTTAATTATACTGTGCCAATCAATCACCAGGTGTGTCTCTGGTGACTTGAGAAAGGAATCCTACCTGTCATTTAATTGTCAAGTGCTTCTGCAGCACATTATTTTTTTGAAGAACAGAAAATACTGCAAATTGCAACCTGAGTCTAATTTTTTTTTCTTTTTTCTTTAAATTGGTGATGCTGTAAACAAACTATCAACATTTGCAAAACAGAACTCAGAAGGGTAAACACACAGGTCTTTCCCCCCGTCCAATTTTGTTGTGCACACATACATAAGCTGGAAAAAATATGCAGTTATCATCTTAAAGTGAGTAGTTCACAGTAAACTCTCCAAAGCCAGTAAAACAAGTTAAGTGAACTAGTTCTTAACATATGACAGTAGGGTCTGGAGGCCAAGTTACTAACCTGTTATTAGCTATTATTACAAGAGATGTTTCAGGGACTATTCACCTTGGAATCAATTTTCCACATTGTTCTTATGCCTTTAAAGGAGAACAAAAATCCATCTTTGGACATATACAAGTTTTCTGTTGGCTTCCAGCAACCTATTCATCTATCACTTGGTTATACTTCTATTATACTAAGTAGTACAAACTTCTCTACCCATCACAGGGCTAATACAATAATCCAGGATGAAAGACAATGAATAATTTTTTAACAGTTGTAATCTAATTTTAAAATAATGATCAAGCCTTACTATTATGATTGCTAGTTATGCTTTCTGTAGGCCTGCCTTGCCCCAACAAGATGTATTAATAATTATTTTTATGGCAATCTTTGAAAGAGAAAGCACTCACATAAAAATACTGACAATAAAATGAATACATTGAGTTCCTACCAGCTGAGAACAACTTCTACAGTCAGGCCATTTCCTTAATCCATTTACAGATAAATTGGACACTATCATATAGGTAGTGATGCAATATAGTGAAAAGGAGTGAGAATTACTGCTTCTTTTCCCTCACTACGCATATCTTTTTACTGCAGTACGCTTGATTTCACTGTTGGCAGAACACTTTACCAGCTCCGCTGTTTGATGGAGGAATATGCTAGCTATTAAGAGCTTGCTGTCTGTCTGTTGCCACAATTGCTTCTCTATGTATATTAAAAATAACTCCACCTGCTGTAGTTACCAAAAGCAGATAAATCTTGTGAAGACTGCAGCAGTATTTTCCATTTCTTAACATATATTCCTATAGCACTTCTTCATTCAAGAGTCTCCACATATAAATAGATGAATAATTATCATCACTTTACAGAAGGTAAACTAAGACATTAGACATGAGACATAAGACCATTAGAAATGGTGAAGTGATGTGCTGTCAGTCAAACTCAGTTGTATGCCACTGAGGAACAAAACACCAAGATGATTTGAGCAGTGCCCTTTCCATTAGATTCCCAATGTACCCCAAAGCATTCACATAGTGCTCTTCCAACTGGGGATGCATGAGCTGTGAACAGCTTTACAAAATGGCTACACAAAACCATGACCATATTTTCAGTCTAATGGTTCTGGATTATACTGTCTTCCAAAATCAACTTGCAAGCTGGTATGCATGTGTTTCCATGTTTAACACACCCATGGAGAGAAGCACAGGGAGGAGCCATAAATGTGAGTGCTTCCTAGCAGTTAAAGTATGACATTTCTTCTCAAAACGAGCTGCTAAATGCACCTGTGGTTCTTTGAAGGCCTGCATAGCGCAACTATGATTAAGATGTGAATTTCCACCACATGGTTCACATTTGAAGGAGCAAACATTTTATTCAGAAAAATCTTCCAGATCATATCGGAACAGAGCTTGCGGTGACAGTGTGTGTGTTGGCACCACTCCATGAGCTTTGTGCTAATATATGGGGCCAGTTTTCCCTCTGACCCTCAGTACTTCGCTTCCCTTTCTTCTGCACACCAGTGGTATGGCTTCCAGCAGTGCATTTTGCTTAAAGATGATGGAACCTCTGCAATTTTAAATAGACACCTATGGGAAGGATCCTATAGATGGCTTGAACTTATGGAAGCATCAAAAGGAAGGTCAGGAGTGCTCTGTCTGCATTTCTCTGCTGCTGAGTGAATGCTGAGTAACAGATCCAGGCAAACCATTTTGATAGGCTGTGGCTGGATTCAACACAAGCTAACAGAACTGATGAAACTCTGTGGTCAAAATCTGAACTTCTTGACACCAGTCACTGGATTCCTCTAATATCACAGAAAGTAAAATGGTTCATCACTGAAGCAGCTCTTTTACCAATCTCATTTTAACCAGCATGCATTATTCCTGAATGTGGTAGGCTATTCTGTCATATAAACAGCCATCAAAAGCTTGCTTAAATCTAGACTGCAGAACATTTGTAAAGCAAACAGTACGTGCATGATTAATCTTTTCAGGAAACAATTTTGCCATTCAGTTTATCCAAGACTCCAGCAGAGGGAGCAGGGCAGTGCAAACAATTAAGGTCAAAAAGAAAGTAAAGATCAAAGATCAGATCAAACAAACACAGAGCTGAATTAATCTGACAAGTACCTGACATTTTATTTTAGGTACAACGATTTTGGTGCTGTGCTTTTTTTGTGTATCAAATTCACAATGCTCTGTAGGTGAAATTACCCATGTACTTTCAAAGCTGATTCATGGCTCTTCGCTTGGCATTGAAGACTCAGTCTGGTAAGTAATAATTAGCAGGATAAGTTACAAGAACATTCCAACATGTCAATCATATACTGTACTTAACTCGTATAATTTACAGCTTAAATATCTAAAGGAATACTTTATAGCACAGGAGCCAGCAGGAGCAATTAAAAGAGGCTTGAATAGAATTCCTCTTCCTCCCATGCCCACAGATTGCATTAGCATGATTTTACTTTGTGAGTTATTACTTGTTTCTGCTGCACTAATTCAAATAGATTATATGAGTTCTGCAGACACTATTTATCTTGTTCAAATGCTGAAGACAATACACAACATGTTTTATTGCAATTTATGAAGAAGTCTACTACAATGTTTGTTCTGTTTTTTGTCATTTCCTATTTGTTTATCAGGTACTGTTTATCTTGTTTTTGATGAAGGACAGCACAGTTAACTTCAGAAAAGTTATGTGTTAGAGGTGACCAAGTCTAGGAAAAAGTACTGGGGTCTATCTTAGTTTCATAATATTTTCTGCAACTCTACATTTTGCTTATTTTTACAACTATTTGATACAACAGTGCCAAAATTGAGAAGAATAGTCGTTTTTTCCTAAAGTGGCATGTTCATTTATTTCAGAAAAAGAAGGCACAACTTTCTTTTAATTCTAGTTTTGTCATTTCATCCCTCAGAATTCAATGAAGTTATTCCTAACTTATGACTACTGATATGAGAGGAGAGGGTCTACAAAGCACAGAATACTTTGCTTACTGGCCCACTATACCCTGTCAACATCAGAAAGGAATTCAAAAGACACCTGAATATAGACCGACTCAAAATACAGATCTAAAGCCATGAAGGAAGCCATAGGCCACACAGCCAATTGGACTCCATATCAAGATGAGTGTAATGCACAGTATAGATCATAATATACAAATCAATGTTAAAACTCATTTTCATCAAAACATCCAGTACAACTTCAGTGAAGCTGCGGAGAGTAGAAATGAATTAGGATCAGCCTGATCTCACTCATAACAAGATACATTCTAAATAACTTCTGCTGGTGTTAATTTGCCCCAACTCTATTCCATAGCACAGGCCTAAAGATTTAACCATTAAAGAGCTCTGACAGCACCTACTGTATAAATGCATTCTGGCTGTTGTGGAGCCTGAGTATCCAGAAATTTGTGCATGAATTTGTGATGCATTTGGAACAGGAAATATATATGCTACATTGCTCAGTGCTGAGAGCCCCAAGTACAGGTGAGTGTGCTAGGTCTGGAGCTGGAAGCTACTTTAATCATGGGAAGTGCTCTCAGATAGGCTATATATCCCTGATAGTGCTGGATGCTGCTATGATGTATTAATTTCACAAGGTAGGGGCTCAGCACAATGTTATTTTCTGTAAGGTACAATAGCAGATCTATTCGATATAAACTTGGTATTCCCAATTGGTTTTAGCTTGGTGAAATGGCAAAATCTTCATTCAGCCATGCCAAGGGTTCATCTCTTTCATCCTAACTAATTGCACTGCTACTTTTACCATACTTCAGTTGAAATTTTTGTTATTGAAGAGTTATCTAAGAGTTTCATCAGAGTAAATGATGCTATGCTGTATCACAACTACTAGTCTGAATTATTCACATGACTGTATTTGTGCTGTTGCTTAGCTGAAATAATTATTTATAGAAGTTTCTCCATATTGCATGGACAATCCAATGAGTGCCATATTACCTGCACAGTCTTTCAGTTGACTTTCTTACCAGAATAATCACTCCTGATCTCCTCCCATCCCACCTTCCTTTTAAGGATATTTTTGAATCGAAGTTGCATCTGATCTAGATTAAAACAAATCCAGCAGGGAAATAAAAACTTTTAATGCAAATCAATTCTCTGATCTGGTTCATTGCATTGCTGCTCGCGCCACCACAAGAAAAAGTGCCGAGGAGAAACAAATGAGGGAGGTGAAACAGAACATTTTTTTACATGGCCATTTTGGCTTAGGGGTGGTCTTATGCCTTGGTTGGAAATACTCCCAATATTCTTCCGATATACAAAGCTGTGCATTTTTTTATGCACACATTTTCCCTTTCTGTCTAACAGAACCATCTCATGACTGACAGCCTCTTACAACACCTTCCACAGAGCTTTTTTTCTTACAAAGACAACACACTTAAAAATACTGCATTTCTTCATCAAGTTATGTTTTTTTTTTTTTTTTTTTTTTTTCTGAAATGCTCAAAATTCTCCCATCATCAGATACTTTCTGGTTGGTATAAAATACTCTGAACATAAATAGACATCAAATCCTTAATATTATACAGACATCATCTATACCTGGTCCACACATGTTGTTTGCTTGTAACTGAACAGTTATACTTCATGTCAACAAATACCTGAGGTAGCTGTAAGGAATTCAGTTCATGAAATGGGGCTGAGCACACACTAACTCACTATGAAAAGGGGAAACCTCCAGTAGAGACCTCACTTGTGCAGGACAGAGCTGGCATGTATTTTCATATGTTGTCATACCAGCACAGCCATCAGGGAAAATGGCTGCACTGCTTTTTTTATGAACGTATCTCCTCTTCAGATAATTTCCTTACCTTTCCTATTACTTAAATAATCAGAGCTGTACATGCAAAATCGATGCAGGCAAAATACTTCGCAACTCTTTCTACTGAGATCAGCTGGACTGACACTTGGTTTGAGTGGAGCTAGCAGACTGTGATTCAAACTAAATGATTCCTGTTTCCTTCCTTTTATTCACAGTGTTTATGCAATCTACTGTTTGGCAACCTCATTTCAAGGCCAGTGACCCACCACTTCTTGTGATTGTTACAATGATCTGCAGAAAATCTCTTCAGGATAAACAGTTAATGGGCACCGTTCAGCCACAGCTACTGCTACATCTTAGTTTCAAGTATCAAATACCAGTTTGGGATCTTCCTGGAGATAACACAGAGCAATATTATGAGACATCAGTAGGCAAAACAAATCTTTAACAAATGTAAACCAGCAAGAATTTACTAGCAACAACTGGCAGCAGAACCATATATACGCACACAGGTGCGTATATGACATAAGTGTGTTCCCTATAGTGCACCTGTCCTGCTCTTTTTTGAACACAAAATGAACTTTCCAAGATCTCGATTCTTTTCTCTAGCAATTCCAAATGCCATAAAAATGCTGGAAAGAATCAGTCGTCCTATTATTTACATGACTTACAACTCACAGCACAGCAAATCAATGTCAGCACTGCAGCAGAGCCTGGAGGCAAACACCTGGCTCCACTGATGCTGGAAGCAGAGTTCTCACTGACATTCATAGAAGCAGGACATCTTCCTGCAGTGCTTCGTGCCAGCTTCTACCCAATAGGCAGTTTTGCATAGCCAATGGAAATCGTGCAGCAGCACATCTCTGCCTGGAGTAGTGATAGGGGTACTGCTGGGTTCACTGGGAAGATTGCTACCTATTTTTTTTCTAGCTCTTTTATTTTATCATTTCTAAAATCTGTTGAATTAAAGATAGAATGGATGGTAAGGAGAGAGAGGCACAATATTAGCTGCTGAAAATCAAGATTATTGTTTTTTCCAGGTAAGAGGGTTCAGAAAATGTAAGGGAGTGGTTTATCTCAGTTTATTTTACTTCCATATTGTTCACCATTAAAGCCTTTATTTCTTTTCCTTATAATGGCTGCTTCAGTTTACTTGGGTACTTATGTTTTAATTCCTAATTTATTTCCAAAGCAACTTATTGGGTCTGCTTATTTTAACTTTCCTCCTCCTCTCAAACCTTTTCTCGATTTTTGTCTTACGTGAGGTTCAGGTTTCCAGTCAGCTCTACCAGGAGCACAGAAAATCTACTCACAATGATCTACACTGTGATAGCTCTTTATAGGTGAAGAGGAATTAACATTTTGGAACTAAAGGCTCAGCCTCTATGACACTCTGTGAGATCTTCTCAAGGTTTAATTTACCTTGTGATGGTCAAGTTGCACAAGTGATCACTGCCTACCTGATGCAACTCTTCCATAAGAGGTGAGAAAAGGATGCTTGCTTGGGAATGACTCAGGTGGTAATGAAATATAGGACAGCAATAAAGTCAAAGCATTTGCGAAGCAGAAGCAGATCTTGAAACACTGGTGCTATCCTATTGCCCGCATTTTCCTGAGCCCAGTCATCCTGGCCTTCTCTCCAAGGGGTGTTTAGGGTTGGTGGGATTCAGACTTGTGCAGACAGGTCTATGCCCCACAGACCTGATACACGAAGAAACTACCCAACCCACAGGCTGGTGTGAAGACTTGTTAGGTGAGGGATTCCCCTCTCAGTCATGGTTTTGGCTTTTGGATGGCAGCACTTTCATACACTTGCAGCAGACTGAAGATGATGGCACTGCATGGCTCTACATGCATTAACACCATTGCTATTAAGAGGACCACAGGCTCTGGCAAGTTCTTTTTTCTTTTGTAGTTTTATTAATTTCTTCAGAATTTTCATCATGGCTCCTGAGTATCCAGAACAGTACATAAAAAAAAAACAACAAAAAAACCAACCCAAGACTTCAAGCTATCCTGATCTTAAATTAAAACCCCTTTAACAAAAAACATGGTAGTCAAAGGTCTTTTTTTTTTTTTTTTTTACTAACCTGGTTCCATAATGAACATTTTTTAATAAAGACATGTGGTTTGTAAATGAGCTTTTAAATAACTAAAGAAAAAGAAAGGACATAGAAACATGTTTTTAAATGTCTGTGGAAAAAAAGACAAGGCATTATTTTAAGTAATTAAAATCAAAGCTTCAATGATTTGTCTTGTCATATGTATAATGTATGACATTACTTTTATTTAAAAGTTAAGAGTTAGAGAAGGAAATGGTGAAATGGTAGCACGTTAACTAATGCTATAGGACAGAGAGTCTTTTCTGGGCAATATTTCAATTAAATAAAATTTTCAAACTTGTATTTCACCATTTGCAGCTCACATATTAAAAATCTATTAGCAGAAAACCTATTGAAAAGCTGACCATGAGCACAAGAGACTTTTTCTAGAAACACTCCTATTCAGTTCTCATGGCGGAACAAAAGCAGATTGGCACATTTGGTTATATACAAACGCCCTTGAAAGGGACCTTCCCCCCCTTTCCCATAGCCACGCGTTTCAGCCTCTATATGTTGAAGGAAGGCAGTGAAAGGTTTGGGGGGGTGGGGAGACCAAGGGCTTCCACCAAGATCCTTCAAAGTCCTCATCTTCTATAGTGGGAAGATTTCCCTCTAAATCCCTTTCAATAGCATATTGACGGCTTTGAAAGCTTAAATGGCATTTGTCAACCATCAGTAAATCTTGAAAACTGTTTCTGCAAATAGCCCAACTCTGAGTCTCAGCTTTTCCCATTAATCTGTACATAAGGCCACTGAAGACTTTTTCAGACCCTAGATAATGCCTGGATTAAAAGGTCCATTCAGAAGGGAAAACTTTAGCATTCACCTTGTGTACATAGCCATTTCACCAGTGGTATTCATGGGTTGTTATTTCAACTCTTCATTTGTCCTGCAAACAAGACATTTTGCCACAAAGCCTTGGTAGAGACATTCTTTAGTGAATTACTGAAACCTAGCCCCTCTATTTGTCATGGCTTGTTATTTTTATCAAGTGTAATCAGTTCAAATAGTAACCCCAGACTGACAACTTTACAATTACATTACTATTTTAAGAGTGGAAGGTGTGTTTCTTCTAATTCAACAACAAAACAGATTAAAGCACAACCTGATTACTTCATCTAGTGAAACAGTTTAACATTTCCCTTAATCAAAAGATTTTTTTTTTGTTTAGAGTGAAAGCAAAGATATAACTCTAATAATTGTAGCTCAACATTTTTACTTGCTGTTATTTAATAAAAACTTCGTGCATTTGCAAAGTTTAATAACGTGCACACTTCTATTTAAGTTGTTGTATGACCTATTAATGTTGGTGCATTTTTTTTTTTTCATTTTGCAACCAGTCAGTGATACCATTTTGAAGGGTAGAAAGCATCTAATTATTGCTACTATTAAAATAATCAAGATAAAATGTTTTTGCATCACGGAAAATAAGAAAAACAGAAACAAAATTGGAAAAGATTCCAATGACACAATGTTAGGCAGATTGTTTAATATTAAATTAAAAAAAAAAAGAGAAAACACATCCCTGCCAAATTTGTCCTGGTCCAGATAGATCTCATTGTCTGAACAAATAGACCTTTTTACCATAGTCAAAGTAGGGGTCAGTGAAATTCACTGGACAGCCCTCACAAAGATACCCAAAGATCACCAGACATAAGGGAAAATCATCATCAAATACTTACATCTGCAAATTTACTTTAACTATACCTGAAGGCCAGTTCTTGCATCTTCTTTTATCTACCTTACTACCAACCTGTGTGGACAAGTGCCCCCCACTCTTTTTGCTATCAGCTGAAGAGACTTCATACTTTTAAGTATGAGCTGCAGCGTGGATGTGGCCTAACAAATCACCCAGGCTCAGCCCAACTCACTGCAAAACTAATCTGAATTGTGTCACACTACCTAAGCAGCAGGGTTTTTCCCTGATCAAAACTGACCCCTCTCCATACCCCAACTTACTGTGTTAATAATATCACAATTATGTATTTTGAAGATTTCTGGAGGAACTATGCCAATGATCTCTTGGCTGATTAAATGTAAGCTGGGTCAGATTTTTATCTCTGGGCCATTCTGTGAAGTGCCTTAGACTATCCTGTCTGTCTTTTAAATACTTTCCACATCGCAGGGGATGTGCTTCCTGCACAGATCAGCTCTTTTTTTACCCCATGGGGATATGTCAAACAACCTGAAGTACCTTAACTCGCATGAGTTAAGTATGTGTGAGCAGCTAAATGCTGCATTAAAGTACAGAGAATCAATCTAGTTGACTAAACATAGAGCCATCTGAAATAGTCTAAGTTATGTGAGATATCCATGCAAGCCTGGCAAACATAACATTATGACCTACAAGACCAGCTGCCTTTTGAAGACACAGCTGAAGACCAGGCAGGATACCCTAAGGCAAATCAAGAGCAATAGTTACTTATGCTTTGGCAATTACACTGAATTCTGAGATTGGGATTCACACTGTCCTGCCAGGTAAGGTTAGATTCAGTGTTTTGCTGATGGTTTCCAGATGGTCAGAACACAGGCAGAGTTCACACCTCTTTCTAAAAAAAATCTGTGTAGATGTTACTCCAAATGCATGTTGAATCCTTTGGGACTAGAAATGAGTGGTATCGCAGAAGAGTGAAGTGTTCCTTGTAAAACTTTATCTGTATCACTAAAAGAGTTGAATTTCCAGATTGCCATGTTATTTTAAAAAAACACACGCTGACCTTTGGTTGGAAGAAGGATGACTTTCAGAACGAGGGATAGTGTTTTCCGCCTGTAGGAGTCACAGATCCTTTTATTTCCTCACAATTTTTATTCTAAATACTCCATGGACTTAGGAAGCTAATTTCTATGCAGCTCAGAAAAAGGGAAAAAACAACCTCATCCTTTCTCTGATTTGTGAATAAAGAGCTATAAGCATCTGTATTCTCGCTTGCATTGTACAGAAAATGTGATATAATTCTGATATATAAGTTCTGAGACACAATTGCTATCTATTCTCTTGGAAGAGCCAGATGTGCATCTTCTGTCCAGCAATAACCATGAATGATATACATTGGCAGGGATGGTGGTGGTGAAAATTTTCTGGGCAGGAACATCTTATCTGACTTGAAGTAATTACATGCTTACCAGTTCTTCCATCTAATTTTTCTTTGTATACAGTAATATTCAATTATGGAGTAGTTTTCAAAAAAATCCCTAAAGAAAAAGCTACTATTTAGAATTTGAAGAGGTTGTAAGAAGAGAGAGGAACTGATCTTGCTGTGGCAAGCATGGTTGTGAAACAGAGAAGAAAATCCAGGTCTGATTGTCAGATCACCTATGGGCTGACACTACCTCCTCAAGTATAAACAATAAATATTCCCTTGCTAACCGCAACTCTCAGTAGTGCCTCAATGAATGTATCTACATTTTGTTGCAATTCTTCCATCAGTTTTTATTTTTGTGACCATGTTCTCACGTCAAACTAACATAGTTTTTGCAGCTGACATAACATGGGTTGGGTACAAGTACTGCAGATGTTTACAATGCCAACATTTTGTAGAAGATAAAAACTCAACCGAAAACTTTGTTATCTACTTCAGTTTAAGAGTGACATCATACAGAAATACACTTTTTTTTTTCCCCTCACAAATACTATTCAGCGCATCTTGCGGCAGGGGAAATTAATTTTCCAAACTCAGTCTTTAAAGGATATTATTTTTTTTAATAGGAGCGTCTTTGAGACAGAACATATGCCCCGTTTTTTCTATCCACACCATAAAATGGTTTTCCCATTCATCATAAATAGCTGTTTTGGGTTTTTTTTTCTTTCCCTACTAAAGTTTTTATAGGGCCTACCTCTGTATTTTAACTGTACCTGACATAGTGGATTCACAATCCTGATTATGGCTGTGGACTGCAATATAACTGAAACACAAATGATAAATAGAATCCTTATGCTTATCTGACTTTTAAATATAACTTTCAGTATGTAAAGATGTAGGTGGATGGAATTATTAAGCAGGCTGGCCGTAGCTGCTTGCTGAACTACTTGATTCTGAAAAATGGGGAAGCCTGAGGGAAGATCCTTAACATTCCTTTAGTACAGCCTAAGGTTACATGATTTTTCTCTGCATTATTATTGCATAGCACAAAAATATATGTGCAGATGCGAGGCCCTAAGGTTCGTCTTGGCTCTGCAAGGAAAGGACGTTTTAAACTCCAGTGCCCTCCACAAAATACATTCTGTATCCTTGTAAGACACATTTGTCAAAGTGAGATAGCTAAACACTGAAGAGAGCAGTTCAGCAATTTCTTCTAAGTCATGCGTGATGGACAATTTAGAGATCTGCTTACAATAGTAGGCATATTACAGACAGAATCTCAGACTATTGATTGGCAGCAAGCTTCCAAAATGAGAGGTGCATATATTCTTTGAAAGCATCTTAGTATAATACTAGTTAGGCTGGTTAGTAGGTATTTCCAGAACAGTCTTCATTTTAAAGACAGGGATTAAAAGTGAAAGATTCTGTGACCCATGGAGTTCATTCAGTAAGATTGCATGAGTGACAACTGTTTGTCTGGGTTAAGACTGCAGGACCATGCCCTGGCATTTCATGCTGATTGCATGTTAATGGTTTTAGAGCGAAACTTAATCTCTTTCAGGGCATCCTGATTTATAGTTAAATACAATAGTTGAAGCCAAGGAGAAATAGAATAACATCTCCCAAAAAACCTATCTGAGTTCTGCCATACCACATGCATGCGCTGGGCTGACAGCCACAGCCAGGCCTGCAGAGCTACTACCTACCTGAATCGGGAATCAAGATGTCCAGCAATTTGGTGTAGGCTATGGCTTTTTCGCTTTCACTTTGTGGGATTAAAAACCCTCATCTGTAAATCCAATGTCAGCAGTAGATCCAACCTTTAATTAACTACTGAATTATTCTACGATGACTATGGAGAAAGACACCAAAATGCCTTGGGAAATCAAACAGCATCCTTAGAGAATAACAGATGCACTGTTTATGAGGGATAATTCTTTCCCATAAAGGAGAACAGAATTTAAATATTCCAAAACTCAAGTTAAACCGATCTTCAGAAACTATTAGCTGCACAGCATTACAGATCACAGGGTACAATGACACCCTGGCCCACAAAACCACCTTAATCAGGGCCTCTCTCTCATGGCACCATCCTATTTTCAAGTAACAATGCTTTCAAATGAGCCGAAAAGATGTACTTTGCTCCCACCATTACAATTTCTGCTCTTCCTTTCTTCACCCCTTTCAAAAACATGAAAGCATTGGATTGCTAATTACTTTTATCCAGCCTATAGGAAAATTAGTTTATCTTCCTGATCAAAGCAAATTAGGCAGATCATGGCTGATTAGAATGCAACAGTAAAATCTCCATACTTTCTATTCCACCCCCTTTTCTCTCAGAAACAGGGCCTGTGTCAAATATGTAGGTATTTCCCACGGCCAGTCTGGACTCTGTTTCCAACAGGCTCTGAGGCTGGGACAATGGTTCTTACACAGACACTGAAGTTCTTTAGTTCAGTCATTGTGCACGGAAAGAACTGGTAACCCCTCAGTTAGCATTTGATGAAACATCTAGATTTACATATTTCCCTAATTGCATTTTTTGAATGTGAGTGAGATTTATCTGACCAAAGTTAAATGCTTCCTTTATTCTACTACCCAAAATACAAATCTATACACTGCAGGCAGAGCTGCATTTGGTTCTGACCCCATCACTACAATTTTGGTTTTCACTATAGTGGGACGAAGCATTGTCTACCTTAACTTCTCATAGCATAACTTAAGAATGGCTTGGCTGGATGCTTTCAAGTTCCCTCCTACATTACATTGCAAAACTGGATGTTACTCCTTCTAAGTAATTGCTTTAAGCAGCACTTTCTACCATTCAAGTATCTTACGATTCACTTTTTGCCTTTCATAACTTGTGTTCTACGGCTTTAACAGATGAAAGCCAAGCTATACCGCTACTTTATTTATAACCAATTACTATAAATTAACAGTAAATCTCACATTTAGCTCCATTTAAACATCACTATGCAGCTGCCCATTTGAAAATAAAATGGTTGCCTTCTTTCACTTCAGTGGGCACAATACAAAACATCCATTGAGCTATTCCTTTATTGCAGCTGCCAATGCCCAGCCGACTTTTAACAAACCAACCAAGCGTAATAACAATGCAGCTGCAACATTTTATGGTATTTCTGTTAGTTCTCTTTTGAGACTGAAGGTGTTAATTAGGAATCAAAGAATACAACCCTGCCAGCTTTCTTTCACAAACTATGCACTGGCCACTGCAGTTTTCAGAAGAAAAATAAATCTAATAAAGGGACAAAAATGTTGTTTGTCACACCAGTAACGTGTATTTAAGACCCTTTGATCATGAGCTTTTTATGTAGTCTTGTCAGACAGGCTGAAAATATTTTTTCCTCTCTTTTCTCCTTTCTTTAGGCTTTTCTGAATACTGATTCTAGGGTTGTCTGGCAAGGTGAAAAACCCGATAGGCACTGGAATGCTCTACAGGTTAAAATGGCTTTGCTAAGTAAGTCAGCCTTAAATCAGATCAAATCAAAACTGTTCACTTTTTTGATTCAAGTGTAAATTGTTTTGGAACACAGATGATCTGTTTCTATTATACAGCTTACTAGTTCCATCTATAATTTAATATTTCAGACGTTTTAATGGCTGTGTTTAATATTAATGTATCAATTATTTTGTGGAATCTCATTTTAAATTCTCAAAAATGAGAGTTTGCTGGAAGTTGTAAAATATCCATTACATACATTTTTTTCATGTGTACCATAAGATATACGTATGCTATATTTTATTTACACTTACTAACTGTAATCGTATTAGAGTATCATATATTCAAAGGCAGCAGCATGAAGTCATTACCTTTAATCTTTAGTCAAAGTTAAAACCTTAAAATAGGTTTATGAAGTTAGCACAACTGAGAATTAGTCAAGCTTGCTAGCTTACGCAGCAAGAGCTTTCACTCTTGCCAAAATCGTGCCAAAATCCATTAATCCTGCCAGAGAATGGCAGAAAGAAGTTCTGCTTGTTGGTTTAATAATAATGAAATGTACATGCTCTTAAGGCTACCTGCAGAGTCTTCTGAACTGCAAAACAAATAACGTCAATTTTAAGAAATACTTTTTACAAAGGGATATATAACAGTTTTCTTTGCCTTAAACACTATGGAGGAGGCTTCAAAATACAGCTTTGTTCATCTTGTTAGACTTTTAATGCAAACTCTTATCATGTTATATATATATAAATATATATAAAATGTTATTACAAAATATATTTGGTACAAACTTGATTTATATGCTTTGTTACCTGACATAGCTATGCCCATTTTTTTCTTTCAGCATAGAATCTCCTCATACAAAAGCAGAAGAAACCAAAACAAACTTTTTTTGTAAGCTGTGAAGAGTAACAGATTTAGAATTTCCTGGAAAGACAAGTTTCCTACGAAGAAAAACAATTTAGATGGAGAGGTGCTCCAAGAAAAAGTGCCTTCTATGGTGCCAGCTCATGTCTACATTAGCAGGTCTTCTTCAAAGAGACTGCCAGCCACATTTAAACAATATAAAATATAAAAATTAATGTAAAAATAAATATTCTAAATCCCAAATATTTGTAAGAACTTCTTTCTCAATCTGCATACAAACACAGAAATATATTTGAGTTCTACCAAATGTAACTTGCAAAGGCAATCTTCTGATATCCGTTCTTTGTCTTATCTGATAACATCATATAAAGTGAGATGAAATTCAGACAGAATAGCTACAAACTTCTTATAAACAATCCCTTCCTAGATCTGGAATAGTAAGCTGAGAAGCTTGAGTAAGCTATTAGCTTTCCATTGTAAGGCATCTCCTTCCTATTTTAATAGTTTAAAGATTGAAGGGATAAAGATCTTAAAAGCAGTACTATCACTTTCAGATGCAGACAGCAAACAGAGGCTTACTGGGAATGGATCTGGCATTGAGTAGATAATATGGAGGTAACAGTCCCCACATTTGGATTACTTGATATCACACCAGTTACACCGTGATCTGTCTTTCCTTCCAAACACAAAATAGGTAGTTCTGTATCTGTGTCCAAAACTACATCATTGCCTAACATACTAGAATACATGATACACTGGAATCTAATTAATCTAATAAAACTAGTCTACCTAGTAGAACAACAGAAGTATTTTTCCTTTGACAAAATGAAATATTTAGATACTGATAACAATTAATGATTCCTAAATCATAGAATGGCCTGGGTTGAAAAGGACCACAGTGATCATCTGGTTTGAACTCCCCTGCTATGTGCAGGGTTGTCAACCACCAGACCAGGCTGCCCAGAGCCACATCCAGCCTGGCCTTGAATGCCTCTAGGGATGGGGCATCCACAACCTCCTTGGGCAAGCTGTTTCAGTGATCATCATCCTCTGTATGAAAAAACTCCTCCTAATATCTAACCTAAACCTCCCATGTCTCGGTTTAAAACCATTCTCCTTTGTCCTATCACTATCCACCCTTGTAAACAGCCGTTCCCCCACCTGTTTATATGCTCCCTTCAAGTATTGGAAGGCCACAATGAAGTCTCCCCGCAGCCTTCTATTCTCCAAGCTAAATATATCTTTATATATTTTACACTTCATATAGAACTTATAAGCTTCTGTACAGAGCTTCTGCACCATATTGAACCATTGCAGCTGAAAGTAATTAACCAGAAGATGCAAGTATTTCCATTGGCTTGCATTTGTTTGTCTCTAGAAAACTATGTGTATTACTATGTGTAATAAATCCAATCATTTTAACAGAGACTTCTGTCTAGAACTAGCAAACCTTGTTGTTGTTGTTGGGTCTTCATGTTCCTTCTTGACAGTTCTGAAGAGTGAAGCTGCTCCTAGGATAGCTATGAGATAAGCTGCCTTTAAGAGTTTTCTATTTTCTCTGTGAATTGCATTGCTGTCCTAAGTAACCTAAATTGGGTAGGAAATATTACTTGTAAAAAAATGCAGAAGAAACCTCTAGCTTTCCCTGCCAGACCTGGCTCTTAGAAGCAGCATAAGCTTTACTCCAGTATCCCTTATAGAACTGTTCTTAATCAGTATTCTTAATCAGCATCTTTCAAAATCAACTGCATGTTGTATTTTGTGAAATACTGAAAGACCAGCATGAGGTACAGAATTGGTATTAAAATCAATCTTGTAATCATTTCAGAATATAACTCAGCCTTGTGTATATGCTTACATGCTGACATCTCAAATGTTTTTATACACGGTGTGAATCACAGAATCACAGAATCACAGAACTGTAGGGGTTGGAAGGGACCTCCAGAGATCATTGAGTCCAACCCCCCTGCCAAAGCAGGTTCCAGCAGCTAACCATCACCTTGCCTATTACAACATATAACTAAGTAATTTTACTAAATCCAGTGGTCAGAAACAACCTTGTCAACAAGATTGTAATGAATATTAAATAAATGAAAATGTTATCAGGAAACAGCATTCATGTTTTTACATGAGCTGCATTATCTATTCAGATACATCTTGACGTAGAAGTAAAGATTGAGTTTGAATTTATAAACATTGATAGGATTCCTTTCTCCACATTTAGATCCTCATGCACTGAGATCATAGAGTCACAGAATCTTTTGAATTGGAAGGGACCTTTAAAGGTCATCTAGTCCACCTCCTCTGCAGTGAACAGGGACACTCACAGCTAGATCAGCTTGCTCAGAGCCCTGTCCAGCCTGACCTTCAATGTCACCAGTGGCAGGACATCCACCACCTCTCTGGGCAAACCATTTCAGTGCTTCACTACCTGTATAATAAAAAACTCAGCCTCAACTATTTTTTTTGTACTTGCCCTGATGTTTTAGAAACTATTCAAAGCTCTTTTAACTAGAAGTGAAAAACATATACATATTACATCATTAAATAGTAAAGAATGATATACTCTGAAACCACATTGTAGAATCATCATAGTACACAACTTCAAAGCCTATTTTTTTACTATAACTACTGACAAATTCCACCTCCATCAATTTCAACTACATCAATAATTCTGCCGTAGTATATAAAGAAAAATTCTGAGTTCCCTTTGTTCTGTGTCATCCTCCCCACCTGGAGCAGCCCTGGGCTGTTTCTTTCAATCCAGCTTGCACAGTGGTGAGCCACGTGTTCCCAAAGTGCACCTGAGGTCACTGCAGTAGCAACAGGCCTTCTCTAATTGCACCCAAGGGGACCAATGCAGGAGTTTGCCTGTCACACTGCTGAACACCTCAGCCTGTCTAATAAGCCGGGAGCTGCTCCATCAGTCAAAAAGCCTACAAATATACCAGATGTTTGTCAGAGTCACACTGGAGAGTAATGGTCTGAGGCATTTTGTTGCGATGGACTTGGTGGCATGGAGGAGCACTCAGACTGGAGTCTAAATGTGGCAGCAAATATTAGATTACCAAATGTTTTATATTTTCAAATTGCTTCAGATGAACAACACTATGTTGCTGTCAGCAAACAACAAATAGATGGCATAGTGCACCTCTGATTTTATTTCATACTTTTACAGCTTGATATGTATTTCATTTAACTTTAATTTTAGTAATGGTGACTGAAGGAACAGAAGTATAGTGCTACAAAGTGTTTTTTTCTTTTATGTCTTCCTGTTATTGTTCTCCTGTGGCTAGGACAGCCAGCCATTACTGAATGCATACCATTCCACGATGATACACTTATTTCCTTATGGTCTAATCTTGATCAGAACAACCACTTTAATGCTATCTTATGAAAGCTGAGAACACTTTCAATGGAAGCTCTCAGTGCTGTGATAAACAAAACCACTAATGAATATAATTTACAATTAATTACTCTTATTGTGTTCTCAGGCAGTTATTCATTCACCAAATATGAAAAACAAATCTGTTTGCATACTCAACACATAGTGATATTTGGATAAAGATTAGACTCACTGCGACCCAACAGAATGTACTACAACAGAGCTAACTGACATTCCGGGAGCTCAATCCATATAATCACAAGGAGATGCTATTTTAGCTTCATTGGGAACTGAACTGCTTCATAATTAGCTTTCACAAGCCCTTATCAGAACAGATTAAACTAGTGGCATGTTGACAGCATGCACCATTTTCCTATATGCTTCCCACACAGAGATATAACAGTGAATATAATACTATCCAGCAAGTTTGAGTATTGCAAATTCTTTATGAAATCTGATGCTCTTACAGCAGTGCCCCATGGTCAGACCCCCATCGGCAGCAACACAGAGCTACATGCCTGCAAGATGCTATTGTTGTGATTGATGATAAATGTAGAAAACAGACCACATCTGGCTTCAAGTTCACAGGATTCTTCACAGATGACTGGAGATAGCCATTAAAGGCTGAGGCACCAATATGTGGACAAATGTGATTTGATAACTCTATTTGGTGGGATGATATCTGTCCATAGTAAATATAACGAAAGCATCATGGTGCTACGTAAGCATCCTCGTAAAAAAACAAAAAAACAAAAGACCATAAATCTGTTGCATCAAAAATCTGAATGCAATCACCAGCAACAGAAAAGACTGAAAAATAGAAGAAAAATCTCACCTTCCTCAAACTGCTGGAAAATCTGAATAGCTGATCACAGCTCTATGACACAAAGAAACTTTCACAAAAACATGGAATTGTAGGGGTTGGAAGAGACCTCTAGAGATCAACGAGACCAACCCCCCTTCCAAAGCAGGTTCCCTACACCAGGTCGCACAGGTAGGCCACAGTACTCCAGATGAGGCCTTACCAGGGCAGAGTAGAGGAGAAGGATCACCTCCCTCGACCTGCTGGCCACGCTGTTTTTAATGCACCCCAGGATGCCATTGGTTCTCTTGGCCACAAGGGCACACTGCTGGCTCATGGCCAACCTGTCGTCCACCAGGACACGCAGGTCCCTCTCTGCAGAGCTCCTCTCCAGCAGCTCATCCCCCAGCCTGTATTGGTGCAAGCAATTCTTCCTCCCTAGGTAGAGTACAGATCCTGGCAGAATACAGATTCTGATACATGCAAGACAGAAATGATTACTTGGTTGCACGTCTATTTTTTTTTTCCTTAAAATAATTTTGACTTCTATTGGTTTCATAGACAGATACCCTGCACGGCAATGACTTTTCCTTCAAGAGCTACCATATTATGACTGAATGTTTTAATTTAATTATATTCATACTTTTCTAAAATCTATGAATTTTTCAAACTGAATTTGTGTTAGCAGTCCTAATTCTAGAGAATCAACTCCATCAGTATAAGCAAAGAAAAGCCTACCTGAGTCTTCCTAGGCATAAACATGCAGAGATAAATCTGGCACTGGGTTTTTTTTCTCCATTCCCTCTGATGATTTTTTTTTTTAATATTTCACCCTGAAAACCCTAGAAATACTGTTAATATGATATTCTCCTACATATATCAGTTTCTACACAATGTTGGTTTTTTTTTCTATACCAGATTATTTTTTCCCTTCATCAGTATTCAGCAAGTGTTCAGAATTTAAAAATAAAAATGCATCTACTTTGACATTTCCAGAATCTACTCTGCTACCCTCCTTACCGTCTCTGGTCTTCAGGCAGACAGGATACTTGTCT